TCCTGTTAGTGTAGGAATTAGGAATAGATTTTCTTTTAGTTATAGGACATAGATAGGCATTGTCATGTTAGTTTAGGAATTTAGGAATAGATTTTCTTTTAGTTATAACTCAGAGATAGGCATGGTCCTGTTGAGATAGATTTTTTAATAGTAATAGTGTTACATAAGCATAGTCATATAGGTTTAGGAGTTTAACACTATGTATTGATGCAGGTATATGGAGTTATAATAGATGTTCTTGAAGTTGTAGAGGGGTTTTTGGATATTTAGGCTTACTGAATCAAATGGAGGAATGTTGGAATTGAAATTGTTTGTTTTAGATTTGATTTATAGTTTTGGATAGGTCGCGATTTGCATTTGTGTTCGGAAAATAGGGAAAGGAATGTTTTGTTGTGATAGGATTTATCAGTTTTAGACAGCTGGTCTTTGATGTTTAGATTTCGTAAGATAATAAATGTGCCTATTCGAATTATAAATTATAAATTATAACTGGGAAAATTTTTTTTTCTACCTTATTTCATTTATTTTCGAATTTATATTATGCAGTTGAATGTTCATTCATATTCGAATTCAAATTAGGCAGCACATGTGACCATGCCTATCTATGTCTTATAACTAAAAGAAAATCTGTTCTTAAATTCCTAAACTAACATGACCATGCCTATCTATGAGTTATAACTAAAACAAAATCTATTCCTAATTCCTAAACTAACAGGACCATGCCTATCTATGACTTATAACTAAAAGAAAATCTATTCCCTGTAGCTTGCCATTTATTGTCGAATTGATGTTATGCAGTAAGTTGTTCATTTATATTCGAATTCGAATTAGACAACTCATGGGACAAACGGTTTTGAGCTAGCTTCAGTCCCATAAAACTTCCCAAAACTGATTCCGCGGATCGCTGGTCTCCGCATTTTTGCCGCCGAAGGCGACCACACTCGCGGTGGTTGCTGAAAACTAAAGTTTCTATTTCCTCTGTCGCACGAAGTCATATTTTCTCTAAGACCATCAACATAACATCTCATCCTGAGAACGTAGAAGAAAGGGTATATTTAAAAAAAAGAAGCGCTACATATTTTCATAATCCAATTTGACTCAGCTGTAGGGCAAAGCTAATTTTGGTCACTAAAAGCGCGTTCTTCAGACTTTCGCAATGTTTTCAATGAATCTAAACAAATTCTGTGAAGATTCAAAATAAAGAAATCATTATTCCATGTAAAATTGCTGTTCATTCTATACGAAGTCCTAAATTGGTTAATTTTTGTGATCCGGCTCGATCCAAGTCGGCCTTATCTCAAACGACAAGTGATTGAAAGATTTTGTCAATTTCGTAAAAAAACAGAGTCATGTCAAATATAGATAGTATTCAAAATCCGAGTTCTATCTCTTCGTTTGTTTCAAAGTTATTCATATCCATTTTACTCTGAAATGGATATTATTTATATATTTCGACATTTATTTGAAATCATAAATCTCTGCATGTATGTCATATAATGAAACGAACTATCACTAGCTCTTGAGGGTGAGTTTAGATTGACTTTTTATACTTACAGTGTAAACGATGCCAATAGTGTAGTTTTCTTTGTGAATCAATTTTGCTCCGTACCAAAATCCTTTTAGAAAAATACAGAAAGATGTATAATGAAGTAATTTGAAGTAGGAATATGATACCTAATGCGAATAAATTATATACGAAAAATAATTGTATGGCTGTTGTAATACCGTTAGCCAATTTTCTTTTGATAGCACATTGTTTAGCATCATCAAGAGATTGTGCATACCTATATATTAATAAGAATCTTTTTTTTATCAAAAACACTGATGAATCTACAATGAAATATAATACAAACCGATGTATCTCTTTTTCTTGACCATTGTAAGATAAAACAGTACGAATTGAACTAATTACTTCTTCAGCAATTGCTCCAGCCTTCCCATATGCTTTTAGTTCAGCTGCAGTCCGCTTGACAATCACCTATAGATAAACGGACACATTAATACACTAACAATAGTACAATTCTACTTTATATGTAACTATAAACGACACGACTAGCACTGGTACTATTGATAATAAGACTAATGTTAATTTCCATCCTTTGACAAAACCTATATTATGAAATGAATAAAAAAAGTTTTCTTGAAATAATATCTGAGCAGAAAAAAATCTACCAATAATAACTGAACTTATAACAGTTGCAAGTTTATTTATCAATGTACACAATTTATCACCTATACCATCACGAATTTGATTAATATTATCTGTTAAAAGTGAATTAAGTTCACCGGTTTGCTGAGCGTCAAAAAAGACAATATCTTTTTTAAGAATTGATTGGAATAATGTCTGTCGAATAGTTCGGCTTTGTCTTTCTGCTATTATATTAAAAAGGGTCATTTGTGCATAAGCAGATATAAGATGAATACAACCGATTATTATCATAAATATTATTGCACTTTTTGTTCGATCTGTGAGATAGGAGTTCATATTAGCAAAATTTGATCCAGTATAATTACACATTCTAAATATAATCTTCTTTTATAAATCAATATGTTTATATTAATATGCTTACGATATTAATGTATAAAAATTGCTCGAAGTCAATTTGATATTTGGTGGACAGTATTCTTCGGTGATAGAAGTGAAATTGAGTGAACATAGAATAGTCTTTTGTCGAGTAAATGAATCGATCGAATTACCAAAAACAACAATATATAAAGGTTCACTAATACCAACTATTATAGCAGAAATGATTGCTAACATCATGTATAATAAGTCAATAAAATTCGCATATCGAAACTGAAAAATACACAAAAAATTATAATCAAGCAAAGAATGATATTATTTTCTTTTACCAAATTTCGAAGGCTTACTGCTTCACTTGATTTTTTATTTTGTGTTTTAATATAAAATCGTTGCCAAAACTTTACCTTTGTTGACTCTTTTTCTTCGAAAGCAGTCATTCTCTATTGAAAAAATAAAAAATTTATGCGAACACCCGGACATGTTGTCAGATGTTCGGAAAGAGTGGGACGAAACGTAATTTACCCATTTTTCCTAATATCTAGATCTCAAATAGTCACACATCAATAGCATTATATAAGAGGTATCTATATATATAAAGAAGAATGTTTATCTGTCTGTTCGTTATGCATGCGGACACGGTACAACCAAATGAAATGAAATTTTGCAAGAAACATCCTTTCATCCAGGGGAAGGTCATGGCGGGGTCACCCCCTCCCCGGTGGGTACGTGGGTGTGGGTGGGGCGGGTGATGAAATTTCACCCAGGTTATGATGCAATGAAATTTTGCGAGGAATACCCTTTCGCGTAGGGGAAGGTCAAGATAGGGTGACCATCCCGTGAATGGTGGGTAAATTTTTAAAAAATCAAAAATGACGAAAAGAACAATTGGAAAGGGAAAGTGATCTGAACATATTTTGCGATATCGAAGTCCGATAACTGATAGTAGATCACAACGCCGTCTTTTTCTAATATGTCAAGTATATATTATCAAATTATCTCGATCATCATCGGGTACCTCTGCTAGTAAGTGATAAAAAGCTCACATATTTCTGATAGATGGGTGAACGTACATGAATAAATGAATGTTGAGACATCCTGACAGTTTGTTACGTCCTATATATAAATAATTAGGAATACTTACGATGAAAATTAATACTGGAATATATTGAAATTGTTTTCGTATATCGTCACTGTAAAAAAAAAACAATTTTACCGAACCCTCGAAAAAGATTTCGTAGGTGTCTAAACGCTTCCAAATGCGCCCAACCGCTCAAAAAAAAACGATCACTAAAATCTACGAAACCTTAAAAGGCTCTTCCCGCGCGCACGCGGTCGGAACCATCTCCTACAAAACCTATTTTAAGTTTCGTACAGCGAAAAAGGGTTTCATAAGAAAATACAAAACCTTTATAGTTTCGTATTAAACCACAGTGCGAAACCATAAGGGTTATTAGAAAACTGTAAAGGTTTTGTATTTTC